GTGAGTGTATATATATATATATATATCAAACTATCCATTTATATTTTCAATTATTTTTTTGTTACTAATTTGGAAAAATGACAATTAAGAATCCACAAGACCATTAATTATAATTATGAACCCAAATTATTGAAATTCTAATAGTAAATCATGGTCTTACTTAGAATTAAAAATATATGAGTCTACAAATATTATAGGTTGCAACTATTGTTAATTTCAATTGAAAAAACCAAGATTCATGTTTAGAAATGTCATTAACAATAATTTTAATCCATAATAATAATTTCAATAGTCCCAACTCAAAACACTTGGGATCTAATTGATTTTCTCAATTGAGATTAACAATGGTCCTAACCCATGATGATAATTTTAATAATATCTTTTTTTTATTTTTTAAATTGTTTACCTATATATTGACAAATATAAAAATTAACAAGTGATTGGTTTCATATTCAAAAGTGATTTTGGTGAATTTTCAAATGACTATCTTATATTTGTAAGTGCCTTTGAAAGTTTTACAAGTAAAGTTTAGTTTCATATTATGAAACAACCCATTCCAAGTGTGGATCCTAATTTTTTCAATTAACAATAGTCAATCCATCATAATAATTTTAGCAGTATCTTTTTTTATTTTTCAAGTGAAAATAATTTTATAAACTCATTTATGTTTTCAATTTCAAGTAAGGATCATGATCTATTATTAAAATTTCAATAATTTGGGGCTTCTAATTATAATTAATGATCTAATGAGGACCATAATTATTATTTTTTCTAATAGGGTTAAAGGGTGAAAATGCCTTGGAGCTTTTTCTTTAAAAGCACCTAGCATTTTAAATTTCTTTTTTGAAGCATTTTTGCCATCAAAGGTTTTAAAAGGAGAGCATTTTCATCCCATCATTAAATATTAGGAATGTTGACCGTTAATTGAAGTTTGACTTAGATATTTTACTATTTTGCCCTCCTTTGTTTTTGTGTTTCTCGATCTTTATTTTTATTTATTGAAGGAAGAAAAGTTAAAGAATTTACTGAGAATGAAACCAGGGGCTAAACACATAAGGAATGAGGGCAAAAGATAAAAATATCTTTGGTCAAACTTCAGTTTAATGGTTAATATTTTTTATATTTAATGGTAGGGTGAAAATGCTCTTCTTTTGAAACTTTCAAGGCAAAATGTCTCAAAAAAAGTTTAAAATGCTAGGTGTTTCTGGAAAAAAATTTCAAGGCAATCTTTTAACCCTATAATAAATCATGCGTCTCTCTTCTCATTACTCATGACCCAGTTATACCCATTTAACTTCCAATTATTTTAAAGAGAATTACTGATGGGTTCTAAAGTATTGAATGAGAAGTGTATTTGTTTCGATAATAAAAATAAATAAAGGGTGGAGACACATGCATGCGTGGTAAAGAAAAATGAGAAACGAGAGGGTTTGGTTTCTTTACGCCAACCTGACACCTATACACAATGGAGCAAGCATCTGTTGCTGTTGCTAGTGCTTGCCCGGCCCTGGTTTTTACTTTGTGGGATTCCACCCACTCCCTCTGCTTATTGGATTCCAAATACGAAACCCACCATCTTTTCTTTTAATTCTTTTCATTTCACTCTCTTAATTAGCCTTAAGCTAAAACTAACTCGTCACCGAGCACATATTTCAGCACCCCACGAGATTCACATTTAAAATTTATTCTCACTCATCAATCAACATAATTTATACGCCACTTTCTCTTTAATCATGAGGCAACAAATATCTGATCTGTATATGCATGCATGTCAATGATTTTAAGATATAGTATAGTATCATCGGAGTTAATTAAGCTTCAGATTTAACCTCTAACTAGATTAAGAATAATGGATGCCGATGATCAAAGATTCCTAAGTTAATACCCCCGTTAACTAATTCAACATAACAATAATACTAATAATTAATACTGATTAACCAACTGGCTACCAGACATCGTTTTGAAAGCTGTCCTCCATTGTTGAAACCATTATTGAAATGAGAAAGATGAGCAAACTTGGTGTTTCTGACCCGGTTGCCAAACGGCCACTTTCGGAAAAAGTTTTCAACTCCAAAAAAAAAAAAGCATCTTATTTGTTGCTTTCAGTTCATTATTGGTTTCTCATTTCCCTTTTTTAACATAAAAATCAAACATCCATTTATCAACTCCATCCCCCTTACGAGAGGATAAAGCACTCCATTCCATTCACTTTCAATATCCAATACGAAACTGAGTTTTAATGGAATTTAGTGTCTTCCTGAAGGAATTTTACTCGAAGTTACATCAAAATTCCATGAATACAATAACAATCTAATTATTTTCTGTTTTCTTTGACCAGGCGGATGATTGACAAGCCAACCAAATTTCCATCAGTAGACTGGATTGGACGACTCAACTAAACCCCGATCTAATTCAATATTAATTAAATGATTGTGATGCTTTTGACGTTTACAACATGCGTTTCAGCGGTATATATATTTAGATATTAATTACCACCCGAGCGCGCGTCATTCGCACTGTTAAATATTCGATGGTCTCGGATGATCTGTATGGAGCTAACTAATTATTAAACTTCAGAAGATTTTATCTTGCAAGTTGTTATTAGAGTCAAAATCACATGATTTTGCTGCTACTTTAGCTCAAATTATAAAGAATATTATATTAATTCATGAATATAATTTCACTGACAATATTACAATCATCACTATAAAATATAATTTCCGTTGCAAAAACGTACAAAAAATACATCTAGTTAAATTAATTGGAGACAGATCAGATTCGGCGAGTAGATTGCCTGTTTAATTTGGTTTGCATTATTTGCGAAATGGCGTGCTCTCTTACATAGCATCCACTTTTTGGTTAAATGCATATGCCATGACACAGCACTTCACCCCATTTCCATTTGTTTGTCAATTGAATCGAACGCCCCACTCACGTTAAATAAACACTAAGTGAAAAGGAAGGAGAGAGAGAAATTATAATAATAAAAGAGCCCCAACACGATGTCTTCTTGGCAGAGGCTAACGCTGGCATATAGCATAACAGAGAGAGATATCCGTAGCTTTTGTTACGATAATGACAGAAAGGGAATTCCAGGAACTGTACGGAGCGTGGCCATGAGCGGATAAGGGAATATGTGTGAAATGGAAAAGAGAGGGGGTCTTCTGTGTTATATTAAATATTTGGGAAAATAGCATTTAAGGATATGTAAAATTCACATCACATAAGGGTCAAATAATTTTATATTTGCTCTGTAGTCCTCTTGTCATTTTTTGATATTAATTTTGTAAGTAAAATAAAGGAATTGCCCCTTAAGTTAAAAAACTTGAAAAAAAATAAACTCTCACTATCATCGGCTGTCGAACCGCCGGTGGCAGGTCACTGCAGCTCCAGTGTCAACGATATTTTATTTGAAAAATGAGCTTTTTAGATGGTCAAGAGAGGGTTTGATCCTATGACCCTTAGCACTTAAAAAGCTTGGTAGCCACTTCCATATAGCATATAACATATAGCAAAAAAAAAAATAATAATTAGTAAACCAAACTTCTAACCACTTTCATGTAATAACATAATGATGTGTTGTTAATTTTTGAACAGAACTTGTTATTTTATAAATGTTACTTGTTAATATGACATGGACAATTATAAATTGAGAACTTTAAAATTCATTAATTTTATTTGTTAAACGTCCTAATATATTGTTGTCAATCACAAATAGGTTATTGTTAAAATCAAATGAATACTTGTTAATAAATAACTAATGCGTACAACTAAACCGTTGCTATTAATTTTTCTAACTTACTAAAATCATAATATATTCTTGTTAATTTTGAATGAATTGTTGTTATTTTAAAAATATTACTTGTTAATCTGACATGAGCAATTACAAATTAGGGGCTTTAAAACTTACACATTTTATTTGTTAAACATCTCAATGTATTGTCATCAATCGCGAATAGGATATTGTTAAAACCAAAAAGATACTTGTTAATAAATGACTAATATGTACAACTAAACCCTTCATATCATTTTGTCTAATTTGTTAAAACCATAATAGATTTTTCTTAATTTTGAATGAATTGTTATTATCTTACAAATGTTACTTGTTAATCTGACATGGACAATTACAAATTGTGAGCTTTATAACTTCACGTATTTTACTTGTTAAACATCTCGATGTGTTGTTGTCAATCACAAGTAACATTTGTAAAATAAAAACAATTCATTTGAGATTAACAAGAATCTATTATGGTTTTAACAAATTAGAAAAATTAATAGAAAATATTTAGTTGTATATCTTAGTTATTCATTAACAAGTATCCGTCTGATTTTGACAACAATCTATTCATGATTGACAATAATACATTGAGACATTTAACAAGTAAAATGTGTGAGTTTTAAAGTCCCTAATTTGTAATTGTTTATGTCAGATTAGCAAGTAACATTTACAAAATAACAAGTTCCGTTCATAAATTAATAACACACTATTATGTTATTATATGGAAGTGGTTAAAAGCTTAATTTATTACTTATATATTTTTTTGATATATGTTATTAAAGGGCTTAGTGGCCACTAGGCCACTAAACTTTTTAGGTAGCAGAGGGTCATGGGATCAAACTCTTCCTTGATTAGCTAAAAAGCTTATTTCTCAAATAAAATGTCGCTAGCACTAAAGCTTCGGTGACTTGTTGCCAACAGTAAGGGCTTTGACAACCTTGCTGCCAATGATGGTTCAATGGTTGGCATTGACAACGGTGGGGGTTACTTTAAAAAAAAATTAACTTGAGATGCAATTCTATCATTTCGCTTACAAAATTAATTTCAAAGAACTAGGGGATTGCATATTAAATAAGAAATCATTTGGTCCTTATATAAAATAAATTTCATCCAGTGGCCCTTTAATGCTATTTTCCCTAAATATTTTTGTGGGAGTAAGGAAGCAGTAGTGAGTGGGGGCCTATAAGAAGGGGGCGAGGGAGGGAGAGATGGTCACAATTAGAGGGAAGAAGAGAGGAGAGAGAGATGGGAGATCAGCAGAGTGTGGTGGAGAAGATAAGCAATGGGTTGGGGAAGGTGAAGCCGTACCTGGCAATGGTGTCGCTTCAGTTTGGGTACGCAGGCATGTATATCATCACCATGGTCTCCTTCAACCATGGCTTGAGCCACTGGATTCTCTCTGTCTACCGTCACGTTGTTGCCACTCTCGTCATCGCTCCTTTCGCCTTTTTCCTCGAAAGGTCCCCCCCTCCCCCAAAAACCTTTTCTTCTCTCTCTCTCTGTCACGACTCCACTGATGCACAGTTACTATATCCATACATGCAACGAGCAGCTTTTAGGGTTTGTTTTCTCAGATCAGTCACTTCTCTCTTCTACATGGGTTTAATATGTGTTTTGACTTTTCTCGTCGCAGAAAAACGAGGCCCAGGATGACTCTTCCCATATTCTTCAGGATACTGGTGCTTGGTTTCCTTGAGTAAGCCTCTTCTGTCTTCTCGATCCATAAATATAATTTCGTTTCTTGTCGGAGAAATTACCCTTTTCATGGCTACTGTTAATTCAACTCTCCAAATGCATGCATGCACCTACTCCCTTAGCTTGTGCGTTCTAATAGTAATCTCTACACACACTTCATGATAATCTCTATACATTCATTCCTCAGTCCTATCTTTTATTTATCATATTTTTTCTCAACCCATCATATCCATACTCTCGACAAAAATTATAATTAATTTCTACATATTTATTATATTTTTTAAAGTTAATATCACATAACATATACTTTTTTCTTATAAAATGTCATAGCAAATTAAAATTAATAAAAATGAACAACTTAATGGTGCTTTGTAGTGGCCTAGCACCCCTTCCTTTGAGGACAACATATGTAGAACACCGAATATACTAATTAAAGTAAGCATACTAACGTACCACAATCACGGGACAAGCGTAATGATTCAAACCCCCCATTTCCAGCCTCCCACCGATATTATTTCTTTTGCTATAGGCTTTAGTTATGGAGAGCTTGAGAGACCTTTTTTTTTTTTTGGTTATTGAATAAAGATGACTCACTGCACCCAGCCACAAAAAGAATAAAGAATAATCTATGCACACAAGCTCCCCCCCCCCCCGGGGGGGCCAAATATTAATAACAAGAGCACAATTCTCTCAAAAAAAAAATCGAATAAGCGAGGATTAAATCAATTAAATCTAGCCACTAGACGTGGTTCGTAAAGGGTCAGGTTGATGCCTCTAGCTGGTAGCTGTATACGCTCAATTTATCAGCATCTGATATTATCATAAGGAAGAAAATAGTTTATCTTTGATTTTCAACTTCAGGATGATGTGTAAATATGCACATGCCAAATGTTTACCTGTAATCTCACTAATGTATAATTTGTTTGGCATAATGAAAATGAATTACAGGCCAGTCCTTGATCAGAACCTGTACAACATGGGGATGAAGAACACCTCAACAACGTTTGCTTCGGCCACTATCAATGTCCTTCCGGCCATTACTTTCATAATGGCACTCATTTTCAGGTTAACAAACATCGCCTCACCGTATAATTATAGGCAGAGATTTGATTGCTCTGGTGAATCAACGGCCAATAATAATTATATTTATTTAATTTACCAAACCAGGTTAGAGAAGTTGAACTTACGAAAAATACCCAGCATAGCGAAGGTAATTGGCACAGTGATCACAGTGTCAGGAGCCATGGTTATGACTTTGTACAAAGGTTCAGCACTTCACATCATGAAGGGATCAACAGCATCGAGCCATCAAGAGAGTTCCACCTCCTCGCCCTCTGAACAGCACTGGTTGCTTGGAACTCTAATGCTCATAGCTAGTTGTGGTGGCTGGGCTAGCTTCTTCATCGTGCAAGTGAGTCCCATTATACCTTGTACATGCACGCACGCACACAAGCTAAGCAGTTAAATTTTCGATATTCATGATATTAATGCCACTTGCGGTTCATTTTGAATGCAGTCATTCACGTTGAAGAAGTACCCAGCAGAGCTGTCCCTCACCGCTTGGATTTGCTTGGCTGGTATCTTTGAGAGCGCAATCGCTTCCTTAATCATGGAACGAGACATGAAAGTGTGGGCTTTAGCCTGGGATTCCAGGCTACTGGCTTGTGTTTATTCTGTGAGTACCGAGTTTGACATCTCAATTAACTCACAATTAAAACCCATAAGGTGATTTCTAATGCTTTGCCGTTAATTGGTGATAATTATCACCAGGGGATTGTTTGCTCTGGAATGGCATACTATATCCAGGGATTCGTGACCAGAGAACGCGGGCCCGTTTTTGTGACTTCCTTCAGCCCTCTGTGCATGATTATCACCGCTGCTTTGGGTACCATGATTTTATCTGAGCAAATTTACGTCGGAAGGTATGTAAACACAAGTATATAATGTTCTCTGTAAAATTTGTAATACAGATACAGAGTAAGCTCATCCATGCGCAATATTCAATTTCTTCTGTGTATTACTATTACAGTATAGTTGGCGCCATTCTCATTGTCATGGGGCTTTACACTGTGGTATGGGGGAAAAGCAAAGACCCTCTGAACACAACACAAACAGAAACAGGCGACGGCCATGAATTGCCAATTAAAGGCAGCGCAAAGTCTGGAATGCCAGACGGTTTTGAGAGCATCGAGGTGAGTGTTCCACCTGATATGATGAAGGGTTCGGGGATGAAAGTCCCGCCGGCAGCAAAATCTTGAAGTATGTCCTTCAGGAATTATAACTATGGTCAAAAATTTTCCCAGTAAAGAGTGGTCAGGAAGAATTCTTGCAGTGCAGTACGAATCTTTCTTCATGCCCTCCTAACCTGTACCTTTTAGTTTCCTGTTTTCCTTGAACTTTTTTGGATGTTTCTGAAGTTAAGAATATAAGTAGAATAATGCAGCAGAGCATTTGTCTCTGTTTTTGTTGAAGTGCTAGTTCGAGGCTTGATAGTCTAATCAGGATTAAATTGGGGTCCAACCAAAGGTAAATAAGTCATAATTAAAATAATAGAATATATTTAAAATATACACATATATAATAAAAGTATATATTTAAAAGATAATAATATATAATAAATAATATAATATTTGTCTAATCTAATCTATGCCCTGGGCCCCTAAATATTGGCTTTTGTTCGACAGTCTTTGTGTGGGGAAGCACGAAAAATTAGCGTGTGGGGAGATAGTTTAGATTAAAAACCATTCAATTTTTTAAAAGTTAAAAAAAGTAAATGTTAACAAAGCCCATTTTTCTTCACTTCTGCCTAAAATTTCAAAATGCTATTAAAAAGAGCCCAAGAAAAGTGTTGAAAACTTGTGTATGTGCAGATATTTGGCACTGTAATCGGAATTTCTATTACTCTCACTATTTCAAAAACTCAATTTGAAAATTTTCCATCCTCATCCTTATGCATCTCAGACTCTCAAGCATCCATCTTCCCCTTCTCTTCATTACAGAAGAAATTGCACAGCAGTTGAGTTGAGAAAGGTCATGGTTTAATATCTAGTTCTTCTTCTTCTTTTTTCCTTCTTTGACGTTTTTTTCATATATTATTGTCATCTCTTTCCCCTTTTTTCCTTCCTTCTTCTTCATTCCTTTTCTTCTGGTGTGGATGTTTGGTTGCTAGTTTTTTTTTTTTTTTAATATCTTAGTAAACCGTGAACCATTTAACCCAGGTTGGCCAGTTTTACCGGTTTATTCCCAAGTTTACCGGGTTAGAATAGGTTAGTTAAGTACCGGTTTACTTTCTTGACCAGACTGGCTAAAGGACCAATGAACAAGTTTGACCAGCCAATTTGGTTTGGGTTTTAATTCCATGCCTTCAATGAATGAATCCAGATAGCTCTGCAATGAAGAGAATCACATTCAGATGCCTTTGCACTTTTCTACGTCACACAACACTTGAGACCGGGGCCATAATATGCCCACCCAAATCAAGTCAATCAAATGTTAATCAGTAATTAAAGATATGGGGTACACTCTCTTATTGTGGTTCAAATGTAGCTACTTGACCAATGCATGTTGGCTCATATGTAAAAGGTATGAGTTCCTGAGCCATCACCTCTTGGATTTGATGCCACAAGCGATGGGCAATGTTATTTGGAAGAAATCCTTATGTGTAGAAATTAAAAGATATATCATGAATATATAAAGTTTGGATATGTTTAACTAAATAGTTTAAACTATTTTAATAAAATATATTATCCTTAAATATATTTAATTAAAAGAATTTAATATGATATTAAGAGCAATTTGATTGGGGACAAAACCAAAAAAAAAATTAAAGAAATAAATAATGAAAGATGAAGGGAAAAAAACAAGAGATTAGACAGAAAGAGAGAAAAAAAGAAGAAATTGAATAGATATAAAATCAGGGGATTGTTGCTAGTCCATGCAAGGGAAATGAAGAAAAAAATAGTAAAATAAATATTAAAGAAAAAAATTTCATATCTAGAAATTAAAAAAATATATATCATGAATATATCAAACTCAAAATATGCCTAATCAAATAACTTAAGTTACTTTTAATAAAATAGGTTATCTTTAAGTATATTTAATTAAAAAATTAACAAATGTGTTTGGGAGAAATACCCTAGTTTGGGACATGACTGAAATTGAATTATTTGAAGTTAGATATTGAGTAAGTAATTTTTTTTCAAAAAACAAAAATGCAGTGGCTATCCGGATGCACTTTTCACTCTGTCCGGGGACCGAGACCGGGCTTTTATAAGGACCCCTGTTTATTGTTCTTTTCCGTAAGTCAATCCCACATTCCCGACTGAATAATTGTCCTTTGAATATCTATGTCCCATGTTTTGATGGCATTAGCCGTCATTTCTACAGAGTCTGCTCCAAGTCTTATCACGGAATGGTCCGCATTAGACGAAAAGTGTCAATTTGTTGTGTTTAATTGCTTTTCTCTTCGTAGTTTATTTGCCAAATGTAAATATAACCTAGAAAACGTGGACATGTGAAAGGCAAAGTTACACCTATTTTATAAAGATCAGGTGCTTCAACAAATACTCCTTTGACCAATAAATAAATAAATAAATAAAGACCGCCGTATTTCGTATTCCTGAGAAAAATGTGTGGTAATTTTATATCCTCTATGTAATAAAATATTGAATCAACATGCCTAAAAGAACAGGAATTATGCATGAGCAGCCCAACAGCTTCGTCTTGGCATCAAGCAACTTCTCCTTGGGAGAATGAAAAAGAAAATATTTTAAATTTTTGTTTTGTATAAAAATGACCACTCGCACCCCTACCTTCGAAAATTAGTAGCTCATTAATTTCTAAATGCTCGTTGCAGTATAACGGCCTGACGTATTCAATCACGTTGTGGTTAGATTCAAAACATACTCAAGTCGACCTGGCTTCATTGTCAGAAAGTGTTTACACTTGCACCCCTCTCCATCCCCAGCTCCCCACCCAGTCCCTGAATAATCCAAGACAACTACACAAACCATAAAGTTCAGCCATTGGATCCTCTTCAAAGTGCGTATAATAGAACATGAATCCCATGCAGTAACATAACTTTACAGGCTTTCTCCAACAAAGCATAAATACCATTAAGATACAATATATAGTTCACCTGAAAAGAACTGGCCTATAAAACGAAAATCCTGCCTCAACCATTCATTCAGAAGCAAAACTAGACACAAGTCAAATGAAAGCTTCTTGATTGAATGACAGCATTCCGACAGAAGACAATCTTATCCACGTCCCATAGGGAGAAATCCTGTAAATCTACTAATCAATTATCTAAATCTTGAATTTTGTAGATCTACAATAATCTTCCCTAACAAATTTCAAGTTTGTACCAAGAAAAGCCACTTCTATGAGCGAGATAAAGTAGACAATGACAAAATGCCCAATCATTTCATTGCGCTGCAAGGTATGGCAAAGCACCTTAACCCATTAACTTTCATGATGGACGTACAAAAATAAACCATAGCCTCATGCATCAGAAGCTTCTCTTTGCCGCTTGGCTGCTGATTGAGACTGACCAAATACACTGCTGCAGAAAATATGCAGATTCAAGGTCGTCAAAGAGATAAATGATGATATAATATGTTCTCAAAGTGTCAAAGCTTCCTCTCTCCCTTATCCTATGAATGAAAGAAGAATTAGGGAAAAAAACAATCAAAGACTTGGAGGAAATTTACATCAGTTAAGAACCACTTGTTGTCAAATCCCAAATAAACTATTGTTAATTTAGAATAAGTTGTTGTTAAAACCCAAATAGATACTTGTTGATAAAAGACTAACCCAAATCAACAAGTATCCATTCGGAATTTGACAACAAGTAATCCTTAATTGATATAAATTTCCTCCAGCGGTCCTTGATTGATATTTTCCTAAAGAATTATGACCATATCTTTGAGGAGGCATTATGGAGAAAGTAATTAGAACAAAAGGCACTTAACAAACTCAACCTCCCTGCTTTGAGAAATAATTCAACAAAGCGGTTTCAGTCATTGTGGCCACCTAAACCCAGTCATAGTTTGTTCACACGCTTCTATCAAAAGGCATTATCATTGGGTTTACCAATTCACATAAATGGTATTAGGTACTTACCCACAGGTTGAACACTTCTGATGATGCTCACAGAATATGGATAAGCATACAGAGCATACATAACCCATATCAATTGTTTGCTTATGGCAGAAGCACCTGCAATTTTCATACAATTATCTAGGCATCAATTTGATAGTCACAAATTAAGTTACTATTCTAAAGAATCTCCCATAAAAGCACATGTATCAATCCACTAAAATAACACACACATTACAGCAAGTAATTCAATGGTCAGCTGAAGAATTGTCAAATTCAAAAGTCAGGTTTATGATAGAGACTAAGGTAGCATAGGATGCATGGGCCGCCCAAGTTCACCCATTAAGCAATATGAGATGCTTAATGGATTTTTAAGTAGGTTGGTTCTCTCCTTAATAGCTAGCTTTCAAGAAAGGATTTCTCATTCCACTTAAGTACCTATCAATTAGTATTAGAGCCGGTTGCTAGCCTCTCTGAAAAGGACTACCTAAAAAGGGTAGTCTAATGGAAGGTTTTGACTGAAAAGGAAGTCGAATGAAGTATCACCAAATGAAGCTTGTAAAGTGCAGCCACCAAGACATTGGCTCACCAAGGGGACCCATTGCTAGAGATTAAGACAATATAGGATGCCTGAGTCCCATATTAAGTAGTACATGATGCTCAATGAAATATTAAAAATGGCTGTTTTTCAATAACTAGTTTTTAGGGGAAAGTTCTCCATTCCAACTGAATACCCATCAGTATCTACCCTCCGACGTGTTTGTAAGGGAAAAAAAAATGGATTGTAAAGGATACATCAATATTGCACATGGAAATACATAGTATTAGCGTACACACATAGCACTAGTCATAATTGATAAAAGTAGAAGAGAAATAGAGAGAGAAAGAGAGAGAGGTAGGAGGGAAATAGAGAGAGAGAAAAGAGACATTCTTTCACAAGATCCATTACATCCATAAGACCCTATTTATAGAAAACATAACAAAATACCCAAACCACCCTTTTATCCCTAATTCCCTTTACCATTCCTAATTCCCATGTATCAGTATACTTCCCCCTAAAAGAGATCCTTGTCCTCAAGGGTCAGAACAAAGATGAAAAGTAAAAATTATATCTAAAATACGAACTCTTTTTTTTTGGACCTTAAGTTGCTAAAACTTGTAAAAGAAAATAAATAATTTGAAAACAAAATTAATGGACATCAAAAACCCAAGCATGCTGCAGTATTCCTTTAATCCAAAAGCCCATTGCAACCCACATAAACTTGTGAGATACCCATTGCTGAAGCTTAAGAACACCCCATAGCTCCACCTTCCCACCCCAATTCCACCCAAAAGCTTTTGGGCTCATATATACTTGAGAAACCTAAACTTCATCAACAAAAGGTCTAACAACATTATACATTTCGGATTTGGTCCAACTTGCTTCCACGTGAAAAACACATTAGAAAGACCCGGATCAATTCTTCATGAATGCAATGGCAAGAGAAGATTGAGTAAATCCCAACAAAAGCCCTAATTCTATTATCACTTGCAAAGCTCCACCCGACCCGTCTTCTTCAGCCTTACCTGACCCTAAAACAGCATTTCCCCAACCCAATTCACCTCTAGATCATCCTTCACATTCCTTGCTTTGTCTCCTATCAAGCCAATCATCTTGTGTTGAGAGGAATCAAGACCCCACTGAGTTAGAATTGGACATTTGAGCTCAGTTTCTTCATCTTTAATAGAGGACAACCCAATCATTATTACTTGGTTGTTAGGTGTGCATCAATTCCACTTCCCACACATGTCTGAGTCTCCAATCCAAAAAAACCTAGCAAACATCTAGCCAATTCGACCCTAGAAATCACCAAAACTAGCCCAGTTGTGCTGGGCGATAACATGCTTTAGCATGTTTTCATCAATCATAGAATCACCATTGTCACCACTCTTGTATTCTCCCATAGTCCTCTCTTGGTCCTTGATTACCTCAACTCCACCATAGCCATTTGTTGGTGTTGTGCTGAACATCAAATAAGGAGAAAGAGATCGAAAAGAATTCAAAGAACCATTCAATGTCTTTGCCCCTCTATCTTTCTCCATATCTTCACTTTCTTGCTCCTCCTAGTCTTTCATGATGTCTACAAAAACATCATCCACTTTTAGGGCATCCACAGCCCCCATTTCAATGTATTGGTTCTTCGTCTCTACCTCAATAGCAAATGTAAGTTTCAAATGGATGTCAGACTCTTCAGCAACTCTCTCCTCCTTGTCTTTGTCTTTCATGTCTCATTCTTGTTACTATGCATGCTTCAACTGTCCTAACAATTGTTTTTTTCGGTGACTAAAGGCTAAGGAGGAATAGCTATAGTAGACGCAGAGGTCGTTGCTGTTGAAGGAAGTGGTGGAGGGTTACATGTGTTAAATGGTTCACCCATAATAACCATAAGATGCAAGTGGTTGGCGAGCATAGCGAGGTTAGCCGAGATTTCAGTCATCTATTAGGAAAGCTGAGACATGGCCAGCTTAATCTCAATGAAGTCGTGATTCTGCTAGTTTAATGTTTGCTGGTTGCGTTGGAGCAAAGCCAACTGCATCTTCAAACGATGTTCGAGGGCACCAATGCATTCATTGGATCGTCTCTCTAGCAAAGCCAAGGCCAGAGAGGAAGCTCTGATACCTTTGATAGTAGATTAGTAGTAGAAGAGAAATATAGTGAGAGAAAGAGGTAGAAGGGAAATAGAGAGAGAGAGAGAGAGAAGAGAGACTAATTCATTTTTCACAAGACCCATTACATCCATAAGATCCTATTTATAGAGAACATAACTAAATACCCAAACTACCCTTTTATCCCTAATTACCCTTACTATTCCTAATTCCCATGTATCAATAGTTGTTAATCTGGGTTATCTAATCAGCTTTGGGGGAAAGACATGCAAGAGTCATTTTCTCTTCAAAAGAAAGAACTGGTCAATGTAAAGTCAGATATCTCCATCTTCAAAATTGTGTAATTCAGAAGCAACCTAGAATAATTTCAAAATAGCAGATACTGTCTAAACATCATTTGGAAAAGGAAAATCTTAGAAAAGTCAGGTAAGAAAAGTTTGGAAATATCAAGGTTGCAATCTGAATGTTTCTAGCAACCATAGAAAGGAAGGGAGAACAAGGAATATCAATAGAAGAGGAATCTTACGAGGCACGAAAATCCACACCAACAGATTTAGGAAGACGTAGAAATGCACGGGAATGTAAATCAGTTGCAAACACCATCTGCATTAACAAAGTTAAATTAGTGTCAAAATCAAAACAAGTACAAAACAATTTTATTTAAAACTCAAAAGAATACTTGACAGTAATGACAAGATAAACATGACATGTTTGCAGAAGAAATTAAAGGAAAAAAAAATGGAAATTAAAAATATAAAAAAAAAATCCCTATATAACCAAAAAAAAAAAGTTAAAAAACCTAAATTACACCGAAACTGCTAAGATAAAGTAAACTACAAAAGCAATTTAATAACCTATTCAAGTCACACCATTGATTTGAGATGCCCAATAAGGAGAAAAACTTACTGAAAGATATTGAAAAAGACCATCCAATTGGGGAGGCCGGTGATATATGCCACCAGTTATGTATGAAGCCTATTAATTTTAACATCATAAAAATCACTAGTCAATAATTTATTGTTAGTTTCTTACATTATTGGCAACATCAAATTATTCAACAAGTTTACTTGAGCTACCTGCTGGAGGAATGCCGAATTGTTAGATCCTATATAACAAGAATCTATGGGAACCTGCATGGTAATAATATGAATAAAACAGTCAATATTTCTGGGGCTGGAGAAATCCACAATGTAGCATTACAAGTGGATATTTACATAAACTTCAAGGAATATACAAGACCCGGCAACAGATAAGTAGACACATAATGTTTAACGTCTCACTTTAAAAAGCACCTTCAACAGATGTATTAAAAATGTCAATATTAGATAACCCAACTTACTCAGTATGGCCAAAAAATTCAATTAGGCAAGGTTAAGCCCTTTAGATAGGTCCATGAATTACCAACCCCTTTCACTTCTGGCAAGTTTCAAAGTTGTAGACCAGAACATCTATATAAGTTGTGCATTTTGACGCCTCACAACCTACAAGTTAAACAGAGAATCTGAAAATACCTGTTCCTGAACGGGTTTTATTACAACCCAACCCAACCCAACCCAAAACCAAACCCAACCCTAACCCTTTTCACAGCCATTAGCTCCAATTACCTAGAGCAGGTTTGGGATCCTTAGCAAATCAATGTCTTACTTCATGTTTCAATTTCCCATCAATAAATTACTATCCTATGGTTATAAGTGAAATTGGCTTTACATCAATGGCATCACAACTAATACATTCTCAAGAAATTGGCGTGCAGCATTTTCATTAAACCACGTGCACAAGAGTTTAAGGAATGGGCAAACGGCAAATCAATGTTCTCACTTCAACATGGCTCATGTTTTTTAGTGAATTAATTAGTTAGTGAAAACTTCAAAGAGTCCCAGAAAATGAATGACTATTCATAACATTGTGTAGGTCAGGGGAAGGCCAAGGTCTAAACTAGTTAAGAATGAAGAGAGCAAGAAATTGGACACATACCATAGAACGCTGTGCAGAGAATATTGCATTCATGATTGCCACATACCTGAAACAGATTTAGAATGTGGTCTAAAATAAAGTATCAATAAAAGATGAGTATATAAAATGTAAAGATCATGACAAGCATACTGTTCTGGTCCATCTGGAGATCCTTGCAAACATAAAATCTGCCACCAAACATTAGTAAACACAAAAGTAACTATTTGGAGCCACTGAGCTGAAAATACAATGACAAAAAATTATTCACCACAAAAAAATTTTAAAATGACACCTCTTCTTAATTTTCACCACATCTAAAACGAAAACCCATGCTCTATTTTATTTTTTTATTGCCAAAAACAATCTATTTAAGATTTTATCACCACTGCTTTGAGTTTTTCTTGAGCATGCCATGGAATCAAAAGCCCTAAAGGGAAGAAAAAAAAGAGCTATAAAGAACTACCCCTCCATTTCCTCGATTCTACTCAAAACTTATGCTGAATCTAACTAGTTATGACTATAAGTCAGAAGCTGGTGTAATGGCCAATGACTATTATAGCATGGAACAGGAGGAAGGTTAACATTTTTACCAGCTTACCTTTTACTCCAAACACAAGTTTGTAACGTATAGATATTTTGATCATACTGGGTAATCTGTACTACGTTCCACAAATTGAGAGAGATCAATTGATATGATTTCAATCCACAAAACACCCATAGATACAGAAGAAAACTTCGATTATATTTGATATTTTGACTAACAGAACCAACTCCTGCAACTTACCATATCCAAATTTTGGTTATTTTTTTTAAATAATCACCTAATAGAATATTCAAATATTCATGGTTGAACATGAATATATGTTATACATACCCGAGGTTGAGGATGCAGTGGTCCTGAGCGAAAAATTCTCTGTATATCTGGGTAGAAAATAAGGCCAAACAAACCCAATGCAAAATATAATTTCAGTGTACTGGGAATTTCCTCTCAAAGGTAGCAATGAATATGAAAGCCGTGATTAAAATAGGGAGTTTTCTGCATTTCATTGGTCAGAAATTAAAAGGATTTTACACACACACACACACACACACATACCAGCACAGTCAGAACATTAATAAGCCACTAAATAGGATACAACAAAGGGCCATAGACAACGATCCAGATAGCAGTGAAGATGCAATGGCCCCTGGTGTTTGGGCCCGGCCCAATTGCTCATCCTTCACGACAAATTCCTCCAATTTCTGCAACAAATTAGAATAAAGTGCAGGCATTCCTACAGTTTCTGAACTGTGGTTATTGTTAGAAGAAGAATCATATATGTAGCCACATGAGTTGCATCCGGTGGCAATAACAACTATTTGGTTAAGTTGACCAAGAAGTAAGATTGAATTCAAAAACGCAAGTACCTGGGGCACCGAAAAAAAAAAAGGAATCAGAATGTTGATTTTATTTTCTGTCTATGAATTCTCTTGGCAGATAAATTGAGAACTAGGGTTTATGAAGCATGAACTTGGGGGAATTCTGTTACTGAAATAGAGATTATTACATGTGAAATAAACTCGGAAAATGGGAGGGAAAATGTGCTCCAAAAGAAGGGATTTGTATCCAATGAGACCACCAGAAGGCTAACATCATCTGTAAAAGCACAGTCAAAGATAGAGATCAACGGATCAGAGCAACTATTGTGAATATGAGACTGTGTAAGGGAGGAACCTGCATAGAGCTTTGAAGGAGCTGAAGTCATGGCAGGTTGAGATGTGAGTGAGGAGGAAGCCCTTTTATAATATTTCAGTTGTTATATATTTAGCAGGAATCGGAGACGATGATCATGGGAATGTGGGGCGTTCATGTAACCTTCTTGTCCTAGGGATTTAGGATCGCTCTCTCTCTCTAGTATATGTTTTTGGTCCTGCAGATAAGTGCTCAGCTTCTCTACAGCTTCCCCTCAGTGGTGCTTCTGCTGTTCCATGAAAACGAGCTATTAAGGAGAAGCAAATCTGGACCAATGTGTGTTTCACAGTGACCAAATGAAAATTTTTCAGTTATCAATTCTAACGCAAAATCATTCCAATTGATAATGTTCATTCGATACTTTGATCAACCATCTAGCGTAGATATAAATTTTTCATTCAGATTCGGAAGAAATTCACAAAAGATCTGGGAAATTTGAGACAATGTCCAACAGCACGTATAAGCAAGAAGAAAATGCGATTCACAATGACTGAGAGTGAACTTTTATCAGCAACCACTCAAGGAAAAAAAAAACAATGCAAAGCCAGGGAAAAAATTTATACAAATATCAATTTCAATTAATAATTTTTCATTCAGGACTTTCATCAAATACATAGCATACATATTCCAGTTCTTTCTTCTCCGATGTACCAGCTCTGCACGATGTACTCCATTTTGTAACACTCCCCCAGTTAGCAAAGAAGAAGAAATACTCAAGTAAGTTGCTTCTTCTTCGATGTGCCATGCTTACACTGGTGCACCTCGCGTTGTAATACTCTCAATGCATTGCCATATCTTTTCGAAGATTTACCGTTTGCAGAACAAAACAAAATGAATAAATCAGGAAGAAGAGTTACCTAATCGGTGCCATGGGTCACGAAGACATGCACGGCACTGGTAAAGCCCATCGGAGGAGACCACCAAGCAATGCACGACGAGGCAAGTCTGCGATGAGAATGGAGCAACGGAAGCAGGGCTGAGTTAAAATGGGGTAGAAACAGACGGTGATATCTCTCATAGGCAACGGCCACGATCAATTTTAGTGCATTTGCGTTCCTGATCGTTAAATTCCTCGACGGTCCAGATTTTCTCAATAAAGCAATATCATTTTGCCAGAGCAGTAGCTGCACCGTAGAGAAAAGGCTGTAGACTATTGAGAGAAGCTACGTACCTCAATACATGTGATCGTCAATATCCTATTTGCTAGAGCTGAAAGAGCATGAAGGATGGAAAATCAAAGATTTTAATAAAACTGATTTATAAAATAAATAAGTAAAATCATAAAATTTTAATAAAACATATAAACTAAAAGAGTGAAAAAATTAATTAATTTTTTTAACTTCACTATTGTTTTAAAATCAAACTCATCAACCTACCTGTCCTTCTATCTATTTTTTATATATATTTTCCCCTCTCTATAATCTCTCTGTGTATCATGGCACTATATTTTTCAATATTTTGTATTGATATTTTATGTTGATGATTTAGAGAGTGTTCTTTCTATAATATTGTAACTCGAGTAAAATTATTTTTAATGAAAAGATATTTATACAAGAAATAATTATCGTTGCAAAAGCTAGTCAAAAAAATTATCGCAGCAGAAAATAATGCTAAATTATATTGAATTGACACGTATAGTTACCATTATATCAATGATAATATCAATTTCAAGCCAAAAAATAATCAATATCAATAATTAGTAATACATCTAATGTTGTATAAAAAATAATATATAGAGAGAGGGGAGCAAATATCAATTTACATTTACTATTGTTTAGGCTCAAATTTAACTTTGACCCCAAGCCAAACTATTTGGGCTAAAAATAATAATTTTAGCCCAAACCCACATGAGTATTCTAGAAAAAATGGTGGTTGCTTGCTATAAAAATGAATTCACATACCACTTCTAGAATGGCAAAGAATGAAAGAAATTATGTGGAAAATTGCAACCATTGGTCCTAAAAAAATGGAGCATAAAGTCATGAAAAAACTATCACTTTATACCTATAAAAGAATAAGCCACCAAGCCCATAAAGCTTCTTTTCAACACTACACATAACTTTTCAACAATCTTTTCAAACAATTCAAAATCTACATTGTAACACACCAAATTTTTTTTTTTAAATAATTTAACTCAACCATAGTTGGGTTACAGCCACCCAACACATTTTTATATCAATAATTTTGATATAAAATATTTTATAATTGGCTTCAACTCACATACTATAACATTTCAGATAAATTTTTACCTCCCACATGCCATTAGGCTAATTCACATTTGTCCATCCTTATACTCCCAACAAGTAAACTAAATCACATTTGTCCATCCTTATACTCCCAACAAGTAAAATAAGCAATTTAGTCAATTTTCAACACAAGCCAGTTATTTGGCCTTATAATCATGCCATTTTAACCAATCCAAAGTAAACCAAATATTAAAATTACAGTCATCCAAATTGTACCAAAAATAGAAATAGTTTGAAAGGCATGATTACATTTATATATTCATATAATTGACAATAAACATAAAAAAGTCCTAATATTGGCAATATAACACATTATAAATCATAAATTAAATACCCAAAAGAGACAATGGATCTATACTACTAAGCCTCTGGGACTCCTCTACGTGTCACTCGTGGCTCTTCTCCTGAAAATTGTTAACCACATAATGAGACTCAAAAGTCCCAGTAACCAAAGCCAATTTATGATAGTGTATACAAACAGTTAAGTGTGTGCTTACTAAGTGAGAATTAAAAATAATATAATTCCAACAAATATAAGAAATATTATAATAAACACAAACAACCATCCTTATATCCCTCCATTAACCTCGAGCCGTAGCCCTCACTCGGTGCTAAATTACCCGGCCAAAGGCAGATTAGCCCGAGCCCTTACAAGCCACCTATTGAGCTCCAATAGGGGCGTACCACGTGGCACATAAATACAACAATAATAGCAAGTCTCCCAACACCTCCCACAATAATTAAACAAATTCATAATAATATTGCACAATTATACAATATTACAAAATTCATAATTTTCTCAATAATCACCCAATTAACAAGAAGTAACACTAATCATAAATTAAAAGCATGGTTACCTTGTGGCTTTTTCAATAAATTATTCCTTAAAATTTCTCTCTCTCCACAATCTTCACCAGTAATACAATCTACAAATAACATATTATTTATAAATATTAGTTTCAATTTTTTGAAACTAATAAAATAATTCTAATAATAGAATTAAAAATATAACATAATTCCTAATCTCAATCTTAATACAAATCTATAGTTAATACTATTAAGTAAAATTTTTAACTCCTCTTTTAATTATCAATAAACATTAATAATCTAAAAATCAAATTTTAAACTAATTTCTATTATCAAAATTTTCTTTTTATTTTATAAATTTGTACCTAAAATACCCAAAAATTAAAAATTGAGTCTCTAGCTTAGAATCATAATCCTATAACCATAATAATTCATTTCTCATCCCAAATAATCATCTAAACCTCAATAAATCAACATATATTTTCAGATCTAGTTTAAAATTTGATCCATAAGCCACAAATTCAAAGATTATCAATAAATTTATACTCTAGAACATTTATTATACTACTGACAACCTCAAAAATCATATTTATTCAACATAAATTCATCCCTCTTCCAGATCTTAAATTTTCTACCACTACAAACTCAGAAACTAAATAAGAAGGATGACTAAGAAAAATTTTTAGAACACTTACTTAGTCTTGAAAAGCTTAAAATCACACTCTAAATATTCTATTAAAAACTCTTACCTTAAAAATTTAGATATTTCGCACCGGCAACTCGCTTCTCTCCGCCTCAGCTCGCGCGCAGAATGAATGAGGAAATGAAGGAAGGTGAGTTTTTATAAAAATTCAGTGGGTCCCACACATTTTTTTTTATTATTATTTCTTCTTCTCTCTCTTCCCCCCTTTTTTTTATTATTATTTTATACTTACTATTCATGCGGCGCCGAAAGCAAATTCGTTTTCTCTTCTTCTTCCTTTTTTTTTGTCATACCTTTTTCCCTTTTTTTTATTATAATAATAATTTAATAATTAATTTTTTTTAAATTAATTTTTTTTTATAAATTTATTTATTTTTTTTTAAATTTTTTTTTAAATTTAGAATTATATCCTAAATTAGATTTAATAATCATTTTCTACTAATTTTCTTACCTCTAAATATTATTATTATTTTTTTAAAAAAAATTTCTATTAACCTAAATTAACTATTAAAATTTAAATTGGGATGTTACATACATGCTTAGTATGAAACTCAAACTTTAACCCCATGTTATCCCTTACTTTGCCCTACATGACTACTTTTATCCTTCAGCAGATTAGACATAGTCCCCTTAGCGTACGCATTCAATAAAGAGTATTGAAGTTCTTTAACAACCAGTAAAGTGCCAACTCTTAGTAAAACAATAGTAACAACGCACCAGCACTTTTCCTTTTGAGTTGTTCATCTTTTATATTTTATAGTTTTTATTTTATCATTATCAATATCATGTGTATTCTCATTATGCAAGTCTCACATGTGTCTCTATTTTTATTCATTTATTTCCTTCACTTTTAAGTACTTGCATTCAGGAAAGTTATGGTAAAGAACCCTAAGAACTCATCATTTGATTTAGAAGTTAGGAATATTGCACCTTTTGAGGACACACTTCTCTAGAAATCCTGCATACAAAACACAAAAAACATATTTTGGCATACCTGATGGGACTTATGCATGTATACTAATAGGACCACCATGAGTTAGATATTTTGAATATAAGAATTATTTCTTTAAACCTGGTGACTTATAAGATTGCCCTTAGTATTGGGCTCCCCAAGAGCTAGCAACCTGGGAGCTAGAATACCCAAGGATCCACTCACAATTCACTACCTATGGAGATCTAGTGATTCATGCTCCAACAAAGTCATAAATCGACATACCCCTAGAATTAAAGTACTGAGCTCTCTAAGAGCCAGTGATTTAGGAACCAGAATACTTAGAAATCCACCCACAAATCACCACCTACAGAAATCTAATTATCTATGTTTTAGCATAGTCATAGATCGACACAACTCTAGAATCAAAGTACTAGGTCCCTAAGAGATAAGAATATGGGAACCAGAGTATCAAAAGATTTACTAACGAATCCTCACCTACAGAGAGCCAGAGAATCATACTCTAGAGGTTGGTGCTCCAATAGAGTCATAGAAAAGTGTAACCCTATAATAAATGACCTGAGCTCCTCAAGAGCCAATGATCCAGGAACCAGAATACCCAGAGAACTGCATTATGAAGATCAATACTCAAGAAAAGTCATGGAGCCAACCAAAATGAGACCACATCTGTATGGAATCGGCATGGAGACACACCCTTAAATTAAGAAATGATGTTAAAAACTATACTTGGTCTTCAGATTTTAAATGTGATACTTTAGGCGAAGTACACCTATCAACTCCATTACAATTTAAAAACAATCATGGTGAATAGAGCCCTGTGCAACTGCACATTGGAACCCAAAACAAATACTGGGAACTTCACAATGCAACATAGATCGTCAATGAATGATCCAATGTGCTTTAGGGCAATTGATCACAGCTATAGATGAGCTCTATAAACATTTCGAGCAAGAGATGAAACATGGAGCTTAGATCAACAAGTTAGAGATCCAGCTTCATTAAGAAAGCTTTAAGGAAAAAATGCTTGTAATAAAACAAAGAGCTCAACGAAGAGAAGAATCTCTTAGGAGTTGCCATGAATCCCTTAAGAGTATATTTGAAGAGCTTAAGGGCACTCTTCTTATAACTCAGATGAGCTCAACGAGGATGACGAGCTTGAGGCCAGCTCTTGGCCTTTAGATCTAAGCCTATCTAAAGAGTTCGAAAGGCACTCTTCTTATAGCTTCAAGGATAAGTCCATTAAGGACAATAAGCTAGAGGCCAACTCATGACCTTTAGATCTAATTACACATGAGAAAGCTTAAGGGGCAACTACTTGAGAGCGCCCAACTTTCTTAAGCCAATAAACTAGAGGAGAACTCCATGCCCTTGGGATCAAATAGAGAGCAAGAACTACACCCAGAGTCTTTTATTGAGAAAACTACTAGTTCCATGTTTACTAAAAACCACACCTAAACCCTCAAACAAAACCACCACTTGAAACTTTGGCTAAAAAGACCTGGCTCTCCAAGTTCAACATTGCATACATTAGGAATTTGCATGCAGGGCATTATTAAGGCTTAAGATGAACTCAACTTAAGATGAACTCAACCACACTAAATCAACTTAAGACAAACTCAGCCAAATCTATATGCAAGGCATTATTTGGGCTAAAATCTAATTTTGGCCTCAACCCCAACTATTTAGGCTAAAAATAATAAATTTAGTCCTAGCTCACATAAGTCTTCTAGGAGAAAGGTAGTTGCTTGTTATGAAAATGAATTGATGCATCACTTAGAAAAATGGCTAAGAGTAAAGGAAGTGATGGAGAAAATTGCAACTAGTGGCCTTAAAAAAGTAGAGCATGGAGTCTGAAAAAATTGTCACTTTGTGCTTATAAAATGAGAAGACACCAAAAGCACATGGCCTCTCTTTAACTCTTCAACTCTACACATCTTTTCAACCACTCAATCCTAAAATTTACTTGCTCAATGCAAAAACCTTAACCATATGCCATCCTCTTTTTATCATTTAGCAGATTCGACACAACGCCCTCAACACACCATGCATTCAACAAAGATATTGAAATTCTCTAACAATCAATCGAGCACCAGTTCCTAACATAACAGTAGTAATAGCTCACTAGCACTTTTTACTTTTAGCTTTCCATTTTTTTATTTCCCATTATTTTCATTTTATTATTATCAATATCATGTATATTCTCACCAGACAAATTTGGCATGTTTCTCTATTTTTATTCATTCATTTCCTTCACTTTTAAGAGCTTGCATTCAAGAAAATTATGGTAAATAATCCTAAAAACTCATGGGTTGATTTAGAACTAAAGAACATTGTATCTTTTGAGGGCACACTCAAACACTCTCGCGCAAAAATCACAAGAAACAACCACATATTGGAATTCTTTGCAATAACAAATGTATCTTTCCCATTGCCAGAAAAATGTTACTAAAAGCTATTCAAGTAGCCGACAGTAGTTAGCTTAACTATAAAGGCATGTCAAAATCATAATATACTGAAGGGCAAAATAACTCCTTCCTGATGCTTTAAATCGGGTCCCGTATTTTTTGAACCCCTTTTTATATTTTAAATAAACTTTCAAGTATTGAAAAAAGACACAGTTAATCTCAACATTATTCAAAAGTTTATTTTTTTTTTTCACTTCCTTTTTTTGTACTTTAAAGTTTAAATATACTATCTTGATCTCTATCATAAGACGCATTTTAGAAATATTCCTTAATACTTAATGAAATATTAATAACATTTTTTCAATATTACCCTATTAAACTCATTAATGATAAAAGAAAATATAATGTAAATTTTAAAAAAATTATTTAGAAAAAGGCAAAATTTAAAATATATCATATTTTTAGACAATAATTTACCCACTTGTTTCAAACATAGTTTAAAATATCTTATAAGATTTGTAGGAGTATTTTAGAGCTACCCTATATTATTCAGTCCCACTTGACACTCCAATCCACAGTGACAGCGCAGGCGAAAGCAAAGCTAAGGCTTGGGTTTAAGATGTGTAGCCGTTAATGCAGGCAATAATGAGGAATTCTTGATGTTTTTGAAAGCCCAAAGGTCACAGAAATGGATTGCAACATGGATCATCTCGCAAGCTGTTGTAATAAGAGAGAAAAGACAAGGTGATTCGATTTGAAACACATTTACGTAACAAATGTTCAAAGCCTCATCTTGTAGTCTCGCCTCTAAGACGGAATCATGCCGTAGAATTTTGAATTTGAATTCAATGACTAAACTTAATACAGGTCTTGAATACATGTACCATCTAAACCATTACAATATAAATCAACAATTCAAATAAATTTATTCATTTATTAATCTTAAGTGAAAAATAAATTCATAACCATTAATTTAAATTTTAATAGTTCAAATAGTACAGACATCTAATACATTTATTAAATACAATCACCGAATCCAAATCTTAAAATTTCTCCATCAAAAAGATCAAAGTTTGCCTAACATTTGGCACAACTGAGAAAATCAATTAAATTGCTAGCTACCATCAAGTTACCAAAAACAGTAGAACATTGAAGAAAAGCATTCCATAAGAGGAGCCCGGAGTGTCGACTAAAGTTTCGATAATGGATTATAGACAGAATTACTAACCCTAATTCATAAAAGGCCAAGTCGTCAATGAAATCCAAAATGCCCGTGGATTTCCAGGTGCATAGATCAGTTAAAGGGGGCAAATGAACAGTGATGACTACAATACACAACCGCACCCATGACGAATAATGGGCAAAACAAAACCCACTGGCACAAAATTGAAGAGATTACCATGCTAAAGAGATCAACAACTTAACAAACAATAACACAAGTGCAGGTGTCAAAGTGGGTATAGGATTCAACAAGGAGCTTGCAGCAGAAGCACCGGACAGTAGCCCAACGGCTGGCCCATTTGCGCGGGTGAATCCAGGAATTGACCCAGTCGAAGGCACCACTGATGATTTGGGGTTTGTCGGACCACCTGAATATGACTGAGGTGATGGTGCTGGTGCCAATTCTGTAATCCTAGTAACAGTAGTAGGTGGAGCTACGAGTGGGGGAAATTTCTGTGGCCCTGCAGAATGATTTGAAATTCAGTCAGAAAGCACATATTACAACATCAAAACAGAAAAAGAACAGGAAGCTTCCTATCATTACATATGCTTTCTGGTAACTCTCATCTGCATTAAATAGTCACTCTATATATATATAATCAAAACAACGTTTAAACTCCGGAGTTAAGAGTTAAGCTGTGATTGAAGCAACACATTGAAACACTCAACTGATGAAGGTAGTCAACGTACTTATCTATAGTTCCCAATTCATAAACATTCAACCTGATTTCTTTTCAGAATTCAGATGCTTTCAAGTTTGTCACTAAAAGTCCTAAAAATAGCACTGAACTGATCTATGTAGAGCTTTAAGTCACATATCAACCTCCAAAACGGATCAACGAGAATATTGTGGATTGAAGCTCAAAAACCCAATATCCTAAAAGGAAAGGCAAAAAATCTACTATGAAACATGAAGAATTTGAGCGTTCTCCTTCTTTTCTGGTGCTTAACACGGTGAATTCTTTCTCCTAGCATTGAAACAACTTAAGGATACATGGACACGACAGAGAAATAACAACGCTCCAAACTGCAAATAATTCTCAGGCTTCCCCCCCCCCCCAAAAAAAAAAAGGCTTTAAGGAATGAAAATAAATGAGCGAAAAGCATTAGCAGCATGCTGCATGGCAGTGACTGCGAGGCCATAAATCCAAGGGGGAGAGCATCACATTCCTAACATGCATTTAGATCTCAGAACCAACATATATAAAGTATAAACAACTAGTTGACTCTAACCTGGGCATCGAGGCTGAAGAGAAGTAGACAACCTGAAGCGTGGATAAAATAATTGAATAAGCTCAAAACTCAAAAAAAAAAATAGGCTAAAGGAATTTCAATGTCTCGGTGGAAAAGAACTAGTTTGAATAGGAAAAACATACGCTGTTATTATTGTGCCATTAGCATAACCATCATAACTACAAGAAGTAACATTGCAGCCAGCACTGCTTTGTTGTGTTGTAACATTCCCAACCATAAGGTTGCTGCTTTTACATTGCATGCTAGAACAAGAAACGGCCAGAGAAGCAGGCATACAGTACAAACTACAGAGATGAATAAACCCAAATATGGAGGTTAGCAACAGACCTTCCTCCATAAAAAAGAATCTGTTCTTTAAAATTGGAGAAAGAACAGAAGGAAACAGAAAAAGGAAAGGTTGCTTAGTACTTTAGATTTTGTGGTCCACAACTACACTGCATACAGTGGCCTGCTGTAACCGCATAGCTTCCATTGGGGACAAGCAAACCATAATCAGCCGCATAACTCGGAAAATTTGACGCGCAAGCTGTCAAATGAGAAATATAATAAGCAAATAAATAGCACAAATCTCATTAAAAGACACTAGACAAAGAAGCAATAACAACACCAACATGATTGTTAACGCTCGAGTTGGAGGTCACGGTATTCCTTAATCAAAAAGCGATATAACAATATGACAGTAATATAAGGATTAGCACCAACCAATAACGACAATCTATAACAACGTGACATATCAAGCTCGAAAACATAAGCTTGATCAATAAAAACCCATGAAGGGTTCACTGAAATGACAAAAATCAATCCATTACAGAAGCACGCGTCATGCGGTGAAAGTAACCAGAAATTACCCGGGATAGGAATAGCAAGAATATCGCCATCGCTGATAGCCGTGCTTCCCAACGCATTAACATCCATCAAATCAGTAAGAGTGGTGGAATACCTGGCAGCAATCACAGCCAGAGTGTCAACGGGCTGCACCACGTACGAGAGGTATATTGCAGGCAGAGAGTTATCGGTCCCATTGAAGCAAGTGCATGGAAGAGGCACCACAAGGTTCTGACCCACATCCAGTACTGAAGGGTCGGCTATGGAGTTCGCCTCCCTAAGCTGGTCTGAAGACACCAGACCCCCAAATATAGTGTCTGCAATCGATGAAAGAGTATCAGAGGGCCGAGTTCTGTAATGGGTCGATACCGATTTACGAATCCCATCAACGCATGAACAGGTTATGGGGATTTTAAGGAAGAGTTGGGAGGGCAGAATGTGGTGTTCTACGTCAGGGTACGAAATGTCGATGGCATTGGCGGTGAGAAGAGCAATGGAGTCAATTTGAAAGAGGGAAGCCACCTCAGAGACTTTTAGATCAGTGTAAACAGTGTAGCCGAGAAGGGCATTACAGGAGTCGGAGTTTGAGCAAGGCTCGATTGTAGATTTGGAGCTCACAAGAGCAACTCTGATTAAGACCTGCAAAAGTAACAGATGGAAGGAGCTTCGCAAAATGGTCTTCTGGTGCGGCATTGCCAGCTCCAATCCTTAAGAATGACCTGACAATGAGAAGTACTTTTTGCAGAGGCAATAAGGAAGAGCGTCGAATATTGTTGGAAGAGGCTGAATGAAGCTTCGCTTCACGCACGCAAGAATGAGTTTACTTGCGACGCCAAAAAGGAACTAGTGGGTTCAGGGGGGATTTACTTTACTGAGTAGAGTGAAGCCTACGTAGTGAAGAATAATCCTAGGAAGAAGATGGAATGGAAGACAAGAAATGGAAGAATAAGGAGGGGGAAGAGTTTGAAGACAAGGGTGTGATTCTCCACTTGTTAAAGGACACGTCGGAAGAAGGGATTTTAGGGTTTGTGCAGACCCCAGCCCAGAAGGCGAAGCCGAAGGAAGGTTAGAGGGAAGGGGAAAAGTTGAAAGTAGCAGCGAAGTGAGAAACAGTGAATGACAGGGTGGAGCAGAACCACTATAGTACTACAGAAATATACAAGCAGATTCTCGATCTTGGAGATTCCCAACACCGGTGCCTTGCTGGATGGTTTGTCCTTGTGCCTTACTAGCTTTAGTTTTTTTTTTTAAAAAAAAAAATATATATATATATATAATATAAAAGTTTTAGGAAAAAGACAATGAAGGCCCTAAAGTGATTAATTATAATTAAAAACCTTAAATTATTAAATTGAAATTTTAATAATAAACTATGATCCTTATTTAAAATTAAAAAATATAAATAATTTAAATTTTTTTAAAAATAATTTTAGTAAATTTTTAAATGACTTTGTGTATATTCATAAGTATCTTTAAAAAATTTTAAAAATAAATTTTAATTTTAGACTGAGAAACAATCCATTTTTGTTTATTGTTTTTGTTTTTCATTTGAGATTAAAACTATTCTTGTCTCATGATAGTACTTTTAGTATCATTTTTTTATTTTCTAAATGGTCTACCTATGTATTAACAAATATAAAAATTTACAAATGATTGAGCTCATGTTTAAGAGTGACTTTAATAAATTTTTAAATGACAATTGTATATTTACAAGTATTCTTAAAAAAATTTAAAGATAAATTTTAGTTTCATATTGTTTATTGGTTTGCCAATTAAAATTAACAATATTCTCATCTTATTGTAGTAATTTCAACAGTGTTATTCATTTGTTTTTCAAGTGAAGGGTGATTTTATAAACTCATGTATATTTTTAATTCTAAGTAAAGACTATAATCTCTTATTGAGATTTTAATAACTTAGGATTCTTAATTATAACTAATGACTTTAAGAGGTCCCTAATTGTCATTTTTTCAAAATTTTAAACGACTTATATATATATATATATATATCAAGTTCTTTTATAAATAAAATATAGAGAGAATAAAAATGATAAGAAAGAAGAGAAGATGAAAAAAGAGTATAAGCAATAAAAAATAAAAAATGAGGATAACTCTTCTTGTGCTCTCTTCCATCCTTTACAATACAAATAACATGCCCTATTTATAGACATAATTTTATGTTTGGGATTATACAAATAATAATAAAAAAAAGAATAATTAACACTCATCAAATGTGGTAGTTTTGGAGAAGAGGAAAGGGTGAGAGAAATAGACATTCAGATGATTTTTAGTATTCATAACACTTCCATTGTATGTCTATTAGATAAAAATCTGCCTCATTAAAAATTTCAACCAGAAAAAACATCGCAAGACAAAATCCTAACAGAAGAAAAGAGTACATCATTCATTTATATATTATTTAATGCTGCCTTATTAAAAATCTTAACAAGAAAACTTGATGGGACAAAATCTTGATTAAGAAAAAAAGAATATAGCATGTCTCTACTCTCCCTTACAACAACGTCACCTTTAAATTATTGTACTTTGAGATAGTAGACTAGTTTCTAAAATGTAAATATTGTCAATATTTTATTAAGCAAATCTTACTTTTGGCTTAACCATGCTAAATGCATTGTTATCATATATATAATTTTTGAAAATATATTTCTCTAACATATATTTAAGATATAACACCTTTTCTCAAAATGTCATCTTTCTTTTTCAAATCTATTAGTTAACCAAGAACTAAAATTTGTTAATAAAATTATATCATATATACAATATTAGTTAAATGTATAAATATTCATAAATATATGGTAATTCAAAACAAATCAATTCAATACAGTTTTGCAAACAAAATAAATATAACATAATGATTTTATAACTATTGGGTATTAAATACTAAATCAACAAGTTGAATGTAAAGTCAATATCAAAATTTTATTCTCAAATTCCTTTGATCACAACCTATCATTTTTCCAAAACATATTTGCCAAGACACACACACACACTTGAAATATTTTAATTCATATGAGCTTGAGAGCATAAGCATGTATATATGTTGAATAATTTTCCTAAGAATTTTTCACATTTTTGGCATTTTAACTCTTTCAAATATTATCATGTAAATTTCATTATGCAGTGAGTAGTATGCATAGGCTATAATAATATTTAATAGACGCCTATTATATTTTAATTTTATATATTGTCAAACTAAAAATGTATACAAAAATTCATCACAAGATAATGTACTTGATCATCATTAGACCTCTACGAAAATCTTTGTTTTCACATAAGCATTCATTTATCTTGTAATAACTTTATACTTCAAGTTTTTGGATTGCATGCTATAATTTTCACACATGGAAAATGAATATAATTATACTCATATTGCTCCTTTTCTTTTGCCTTTTTATATTTGGCCAATTATTATTTGTATACTTTTCATGAAAAATTTGCATACAAAATCCTCATTTAATAATGTGATATTATTATCAAAATTCTTGTCGACTACTTCACCTTTTCGATTCCATTCTTTCAATTATAACATAACTTATAGAGATATCTCTTTCTTGCTTTCAGGTACTTGAACCTCTTCTAGGGCTTTTAGAATTACTTATTTCTTAACCCTCTTATAGAGTATATGCCTCCTCAATATAATCACCTTAGTTATATGCTCCTCTTTTACCAAGATTTTTTATTAGGAATCGGTTAATCTCTTATATTGCAATCATGCCTCATTTTCATTTACTTTAATTAGAGAATTTTTTTTAGTTAGAACAAAAAATTTAATAATTCTCACATAAGTTAGTGATTGTATCTAGTAGATTCTTTTGTGAAATTTTAAGAATGTAATCTTTGATAAACGCTTGGTTCATGTGAGGATTTAAATAAGATATAATGATAGTAAATTTCATATATTTTCTTTCATAGCTACTCATTTTCTCCCTCTGGAAAATTTTGTCAAATAATGACGATCAGGTAATCATGCAATACAAGTCTCCTAAATTCACTTGTTTTCTTCAAAAACATCTCTTCGTTTCATTTAAAGACAAGTAAGGAGGGAGAGGTTCTTATCTAACATTTATCCCAATTTTTCACAAATAACCATCTACATGTAGTGTGGCAGAACAATGATAAAAAGCATTGCACAATCAAAAATTCTAAAATGACATATACTTGGCTCTTGGCTAAAAGCTAATTTCAAAAATAGAAAATTTACAATACTTTTTCGATTTAATGTGTATTGTGCTGTAATTTATAAAATCAAATATTTTAAATTAACAATGAAAATTTTGTTCTCATAAGCATTGATCTAACTATTTATAGAGGAGATTTTAATGAATGATTTCGCTGGAGCACCTTTTGAATAGTTTTTCAAAGTCTAAAGTATAAATTTACTAGCATTTTCAACTAAAATTGTGTATATCACATAATATGGAAATTGTATTTTTTTACATAATGATTTATGCATGCAATCTTGTAAACTTCAAGTTGCAAAAACATCTTATTTATGCATCTATCAAATTTATTAAATACTTGTACTATTCACATACTATCTAATGGGCTCATATATTTGAATTTATTTTATTTTTAGAAAAAAATAGATCAATTCTCAATCATAAACAGTAAACATATCGTATTTTATTTGGAAAACAGCTTTTTTTAATTGTTCTTTGAAAACAACTAGCACATATGAAATCTTAAAGTATGTAACATGTATTCTATTCACAAAGAATCTTCTAGTTATCTAATGGATGCTAATGTGTACTCTCAATAACCATTTGCATTAATATGATTTGGAATGATGAAACAAGTTATGCTAATAATATGTGTGGTGGATTAGTAAACTTCTAGTTTATTGTAACAAAAATTAAATATAAACTTTCCATTTTTTCAGAGCATGTAATTAATTTATAATATCAATATGCATCTATTTGAGGGGTCCATTAAACTTTAAGAGCAAGTATATGAGTAATTCATAATAATTTTATTATGCCCTTACAATCTCCACCTCAAGTGAAAGTTATATAAATATATTTTTTTATTGTTACATTTTTGAAAACGATGGCTTGTACATAATAAACAAGCAACCTACCTCTTATTAAAAAACCCGAATGCTTCTCAACCCACACAAAACTGTGGGCCTCAATTTTTAATTTAGTTATTTATTCAAATATTTAGTCAATCAATCTTTGATATAAATTTATGACCATATTTCATTACTTATTTTTTTCCAACCACAGAATGAGAGGCATCCATTTTGGTTATGTAAGAAATAATTTCTTCAAAAGTTGACATATTTCAACACAAAGTAATTTATAAATTATACCATATTCAATATAATAAAAAAGAAATATAAATATAAGTTTACACATATTGCAACAATTCTTAATATTTTTTTTTAAATTACATCAATATTATATCAATATCAAATATTTATGATAATTACTTGAAAGATTAATAGCAATAATTTTAAACACTAAGAACAATTGAACACTTCATAGGTTTTCAAACATAGTCTTTTAAAATTGAACACCATATATCCTTTTAAATTTAAATATCATATAACCTTCCAGGCTTGTCATTATTTTTCCTCTTCCTAACAAAATCCTGTCCATGCATTTTTTGATATCACAACATGTGGCTTTAATAATTTTATAATTACCTTATATATTCATTAGTATCTCATTGCTCTTTTGGCTTCGTAACCAATGTTGATATTACTTTCAATGAATTGCTCATACATATGTCTATATGGCTTCTAGCCATCTGATAACATTCTCTCATAATTTTATTTCAATGCCAACGTTATCTTTCAACAATTATGGCAATACGATATCTTTTCAATAGTTGGAATTAGCTTGTTAATTTTTATAATGTCGTGTTATCATAATCATTATCTCTTGTTGAGATTTGCTAATGCTTTCAATAGCACGTAATCAATTTCATTGAATATTAGTTGTCAAGACAATAGCAATTTAATTTACGCAACTCTTTCATTCCTTTGTTATTTGAATGATTAACCTTCAGGGCTATAATATTTTTAACCATACTGAAATCATCAAAATGCCATAAATTTTTCTTGTCATGCCATCTATTGAAACCATAAAATGGTCTTTTATAAGAAAATCACTATAAAGAATTGAGGTGGACCTTTAGTCTTCATGAATATTGTAACATCCTAAATTATTAATTCTTGCATTAATGCTAATTAAGGGATGAGTTACTAATTTAATGTGATATTAGAATTTTGAATGGTGAAATATTATTTTGACTCTTTAGGGGGTTATATGAACAAATTTAAGAGAATGGTGTTGCAAAGCAGAGCGTGTGAGCATGGTGAGGAGTTTTCTCACTATGCCACGAGCTGCGGTTAGTGATGGATGCACTGCAGCATATGGCACAAAATGTTGATAAATTGGGACGTGTTAACTCATGAAAACATATGAGAAAAGAGGGAAAAGGCACACAAGAGTGGAGAAGAAGGAGATCTCTGCTAGGACAACAAATTCTGGGAGCAAGGACAACGTTTTCAACCTGTTACTTATCGGGTAATTCTTATAATGCCTTAACCTTCAATTCTACCTTATTTTCTCTTAGTTTAAACTATTGAGAAATTGAATTCAAGAGTTTTAAGGAGTTTGTTTATTACCCTATAGTAATAGAAAAGTTCTCTGGGACTAAACTAAGACTTTGTAATTAATTTGAGTCAGAACGATAAAGCTTTGAAGTTATAAGCTTGAATTAACCTAATATATATATATATATATATAGAGAGAGAGAGAGAGAGGGAGAGAGAGAGTAATAAGAGAAGTCTAATAGTGAGTGCGATAATGATCAGGTTGAGTATTATACATTGTATTACAAGCCATGTTAACTTGTAAGAAACGTGAATTCAATAATATAACATGAAGAGCAATTGAATTGTCTTGAAAAAACAAGTAAATGTGAAGACTGAGGATGAACAACAATAATTTCAATGAAATAACATTAATTTCATCAGGTTTGATTTATCTTTCTGCAAATATAATCAAAATGATAAAAAAAAGACTATAGAGCACCCCATATTAAAAAATATGCCATAGGAGTTAAGAACAATATCATGTCTATATTAAACTACATCCTACCATATACAAAAAATAAATAAATAAGGGGATGATCATAAATACACTTCAAAGTGCAATCACAATTTCATTCAATCTTCTAAGAAAATTCCTTTATCAACATTTTCTCATAGCTCACTCGATTTATAATATACATAAGTTGAATTTGCAAGAGCTTCTTAACTTGAACTTATTTTTCTCATCTTCAAACGAAACCTTATGCTTCAGTATGTTTAAAACATTATGCCTAAAATAAAAATTAGTAACCATCATAAGCGAGTCATTCATGCCATGCTATATTCAGGTATATGATGTTTATCTAAAATAAAATGATTATAAGAATCTTCTCCTTCAATCAGTAAGTCATATGCTTTTAATTTCTCCAAGGTACTAAGCAGCAAGTAAGAAATTGTGGTCATGACTAAACTAATGAAAGAAAACATGAGAATTTGTAAAATGAAAAAGAATTAAGGCATCATTTTATGTATTATGTTGCATGGTACCTTGCAAAAGCAAGAAACAAAACTTACCCATTCCAAGAAGACCTTGTCAATTCCTCCCTAAGTTGTCCTTGAATTGCTCTTGCTACTAATTATTTCTAGTACAAAAACTCTAAAGTTGTATAAAATAGCCTTTAAGGTTAATTAACCACCTAATGCATGTATGGGGTCAGATAACCACTGTGCAAATGAAAAACAAAGCAAGGTATAATTTCTATCAAAATCAAAGTATGGATTGCCCAAATTTCAAAATATAAACTAGTACAAGCATATATACAAATTAAGATACCTTGAATACTATTGCAACAGAAAGGTGAAGATAAATAGAAATTGACAAAACTGATTTGGCAGAAGAAATGCATGAAAGAGTTCTCAATTAGTTTATAATTTTACGAAATTGATTTACACCACAGAGACTTTAATTTAAAAGAAAAAGGGGAGTTAGCTTTTCCCATCATTGCAAATATAGGAATTAATCTTGAAATCATGTTTTTTGCCTAGTGGCTTTAGCATATAAAATATATATTAGCATATCACAACAGATTTTGCCTATAAGCTTTAATAACATCTACATGAGCTCTCATCTTTACTAATATGAAGTCCAGTGTTTCTAAATATTGGAGGGCTAGTTAAAAGATGCCAACATTAGTGATTCAATTAAACATGATCTGCTTTATTTTTATTTTTAATCAAACTCATCTCATGAGTGCCCCTTGAATTATTATTGGAGTTTGGTCAAACTGAGTCGAAGACATTCTATTGCAAAATCTTGCACATGGTACATCTTAGAATTGGTGTTTCTTTTATACCAAGGTTAGTCAAATCCAATTGGATGTCAAACTCTTTAGCATGGATACCTTTATTATATGGCTAGTTCTGCTGGCACACCCAGATATGAAAGATTAGCATAGATGAAGAATTCCTTCTTCCTATAGTTAGTATTAGTTGATGTTTTGTGTGGACTAATAAATAATAGCTAAAAGGGCAAAATAAATTGAGCAAGAGTGCAAGATTTTCTCATAAAAATTCACAGTACAAATGTCAACAGAGAAGGTAAGTAAAAGAAACGCTACTCAATGGTTTTATTCTTTTGGTTTGATATTTCAAGCTTCTCTTCATGGAGATATTTTCTCTAATAGTTCTACATTAATTGAAACAGTAGTTGATTTTATGGTTTCACATATGATGCAATAGGATTTGGAATGAGATCTAAGGTGATGGATGAGGAGGCAACGGAGGGAGGAGTTGCCAATCACTTTTAATAGGTGGAGGCAACTATAGTGGGAAGAGTCACCTTGGCCAATCATCTTCAAGCTCAGCAGCTTCAAAGGCATTCTAGTGGTTATATGATTGGGGCATGCGAAGAGAGGATTTCACATAGGGGCATTTCAATCAACATTAAAATTTTTTTATGAATATAATAATAGAGGTTGTCTCTCAAATTCATTTGGTCCCTGAGACTAATTTTGGTTCTAACCAAGTCTTTTTGATCATTTTTTTTAAAAAAAGATAAGTAAGTATTAGACTATCAGAATCAGTCTCATAGTCTTATAGATCAAGTTTGATCCTATTAATTTTCAAGTTATATCTAAATTAGATGAGATTAGAAATTCGCTAATTTAATCTTTTCACGAAATACATTAAGCTTTAAGTTAGGTTAAAGTTTATTCTTGCCTGGTCATATGTGCAACCCTACTTTTCAGTCCCTTCCATCCGCTCCTCAATGTCCCCTTTTTAACTGTCATTTCATGCTCGCTCACCGCTTCCATTTGGGGGAAAATACACTACACGAGTATGTATTAAAATAAATAAATATTGCGTGCATCCTTCTATTTATTCTTGTTCATAATTAATACATTGCAGCGCTTCCGCACCTGAGTTTAAAGAATAAAGATGCAACACTAGAGAAGCAGAGTAAGTTTGCCACAGCAGCACCGGCAGCGAATTGAAATCATTTAAGAGCACTGTACTAAGCTTGCATCATGTTCCCTCTACGTGCGTACGTGTATGTAACTATCACGCATCCATTTAGCTGGGGCGGCTTTAATTTTATAATACAATACCTTATAAGAATTTTAGTGAAAATAAAAAATAATGAAACAACCATCAATGGTTCCTGGTTATTTTAGATATTTCTCTCTCTCACACACACAGATGGCAGATCTAATTACTCTAGGTCTAGTGAGCCAAACATTTCCGGGATAGGTCTTGCTATTGGCTGTCTGGTCAGGATTCCTCAGTGATGTCTGACCAGGCATCAGGGAATGAGAATTTGAGAGCCATTTTTTGCTCGTCTTTTCTCATGAAAAAGCGTTGGTCTTAATATTTTACTGCCCAGGTGATTCCCTCGGATCTCCCTCGACATCAAAGAAGAGATGCAACGTGAGAAGGGGAATATAAACATATTCAGCAGAGAGAGAGGGAGAGGGAGGGAGGGAGAGGGAGAGGGAGAGGGAGAGAGAAACAAATTATAAAAATTACGAGGAAAGGTGACAGGGATGAATATGGGGTCAAAGGAGACCTAATGGTTTTCTGTATCTCTTGATTACTATGTTCGACGTTTATTTATTTTATGCATTTCTCCAGAATATTTCCATGCCATGCCAAACCCCAATTATGTCTCATTTATAGCCTCCAATTCCAATCAGCTCAGATCTCTATAACAAAATATTTACTCCTTTTATTTAGACTTTAGAGGATGAGATGAGACGAGCCCATAAGCTTCCTGCCAGGCCAGAAATCGCAGTAGCCTTCAGCCAAAATCTCTAACAAGGTTAATATTTCCAACTTGATCTTTTAGTATGATTACTTTGCTGGTTTAGAGCTGTCACAGTAATCATATACCATCATGACGCTATTCCTTTTTTTTTTTTTTTCCTGTAGTGGCAGCTGGTGGGTTCCGATACCCTGACAGGCCACATAGATGGGCTCTTTTTAAAAGAACAAACCACTTCTACTCAAGATTTATGGAACTTACAAGTTACAACTAACTCATCATCATGTGGGATGGTTAATTTTGTTTTTATGTTACTAACTGACATGGCCATTTTTCGGGGTTTATTAATGATTACAAAAAGATGCCGTACCAGAGATCCTTAACCTCATCGTCAAAACTAATCATAGCGATTCTTTTAGTATTACTATAATATTCTCGTTATGAAAATATATTTTATCACTACACGATAGCATTTCTGCTGTGAACCAATTTTAATAATTACTTAGTTTTCACCGCGTTAGGCCAGAGATTCCTGTAACAGTTGACACTGTTAAACTGCGCAAAGACAAAACCCCCAAGTTTGCAAACTCTCGCTCCAGCCTCCACTTCAAACCCCTTCATCTCTCTCTTCTTCCTCTATCGGCTGATAATAGTAAATTACATTTTCATTGGAAGAAAGCGGGGGAAGTGCTTGTTTACGTGAGAGAGAATGGCCAGTTCAGGATTGTTCTTGAGACAGGTGAGTGCGAGGGAGGCTTGGAAATCGACGTCGAACAGATGGAGTGGAAAAAATAAGTGTGGCAGAGGCACTGGGAGGATGAGCCTGGAGCCGAGTCTGAATCAAGTGTGTGGAAACGAGGGCAATAACACGACGGCGAGAAAGAGAGTGATGGTGGTGGTCGATCACTCGTCGCATTCCAGGCATGCACTCATTTGGGCACTCACCCATGTTGTTCATAAGGCTGATTTGCTCACTCTACTTCACGTAGTCCCTCCACATTCGCCTTCTCAATCTTCTTATTCCACCTATCTCCTCAACTATCCTCGGTCCCTCTGTAAAGATTGCAGACCTGAGGTACGTTCGTTTGAATTTGACTGGTCTGGATTATTTTCAAGCCAGACTTGTTTTTGCAATCACTACTCTCTTCCAATCTTGAGGGTAAATAAAGAGATTTTCGTGTTATTTTACGGATCCCATGCGTCCAGAGAGAAGCCAGGGGTGGTTATAGCGTTGATTAGATCTAGAGTCGAGTTGTTCTACGGGGATTCAATGATATTCAAGAGAGGAGTTGGAGTACCTTTTTTAATACAATTTATTTTTTTTGCCGTAAATATTTTCCGCATTTTCTTTAGAATTAATCCCTTCTCTTTATGTTTAGTAGTACTTTCCAGATGGAAATCATGGGAATTGTTCAGCAGCACCAGCATTTCTTTTTTCAAATTGCCCCCCATGTCCCCCGTCCCCCACTCTATTCCTTCCTCTTCACAGTGAAGTTAAAAAAAAAAAAAAAAAAACACACACTTCTGCTTTCCATTGTTTTCTGATGGAATCTTATGTTGCTGTGCGTGTGTGACATAGGTGGAAGCGGAGGCACTCGTAATTGAAGGACCAAAACTGAGCAAAGTGATGGACCAGGTGAAGAAGCTGGAGGTCTCGGTCTTGGTTCTGGGCCAAAAGAAGCCATCTCTTCTGTTCGACTGGTCAGACTCCAGTCATGCATCCTCTCCTCTAAAACCTGTTTGATTACCTGTTTTTAAAAACATTATTTAAAACATGTTTTTTTTATCTATTTTGAAAAATAAACAAAAGTTAAAAATTATTCTGAAAAACTTAAAAATCAGAACATTTTTTTGAATATTTTGTTACTTTGGTTTTGCAAAACTAGAGAAAAGATAGAAAATATTATATTTTTATTAATAACAATGATGTTAATAAAATAAATTATTTTTTCACTCTTTGTTTCAACAATGTAGATATATTTTTTAAAAATAATGATTCAAATATATTTTTTCATTTCTTGTTTCTAAAATTTGTTTTAAAAAACTATTTTAGAAAATTATTTTGAGAACATGAAAACAAAAAATAGAACCAAACAAGCTCTAAATTTTCAGCTTTTGATCTCTGCCTTAAAATGATTTTTTACTGATCAGCAATTCTGTCTGTGAAAACGATTATTTTTAATTTTCCGTTTTTTTTTTTAAATAATGACAGCCTATGTGGAAACAGCAGCGCAGAGGAGTTTGTGGAACAACGTGGGCGAGGAAGCGAAGCCAAGGCACTAATGGGTACCTTATCGGCACAAAGTGGCAGAAGAACTTCTGGCTTCTAGCTTAGATTTGCTGACTTAGTTACCACTTACTACATCACATCACCAAGCATGCATGAGGAGATAACTTATGCTTCATTTGGTATAATTGAAAAATTTTTAATAAAATTAGAATCAAAATCAAAATCAAAATTAGAATCAAAATTAAAATAAAATTGAGTTTTAAAAGTGTATTTGGTATGGAAATAAAATCTTGATATAATTTTAATAAATATATCTGCTTAAAATAAAAAAAAAAGACTAAAGTACCCATTTCACCCCTTGCTATTAAAAAATAAAAAGAAATAATAAAAAACCTTTGGAAATGCATCCCACCATTACACCCCTCATCATCGCTACTATCTGCTGCTTCATTTCTTTCAACCAAATACCCATAGACAAGAAGAGAAACAAACTAAATAGTGCCGAGTCTTAAAAAAGAGAAAGAAACTAGTACAAAATGGAGTCTTTGCAAAGTGGATGCTGTTAAGGAAGAAGATGAACAATGACAAAGATGTGGGTGCAGAAGATTGAAGAAGCGGTCATCAAGAGATTGAACATGAATATAAGCTGCAGGATCTGAAAACAATGTCTAACATTAAAGAAGAGAACATGGTGATCCATATAGTGGAAAGTCATGGGGAGGGGAGATGGTGTTGACAGAGGTGAAGATCATAAACCAAGGTTTGAGGTGGAGATCAAAGATAGTGGTAACAAGAGTGAGGATAAGGTGGTAAACAGGTAGAACGGAATTGAATTCTTTAGGTATCATATAGAATTGGATTCTAATTAATTTGTTGGAATTAGGATTCTTGAAAATGAAAATTAAATTGTACCAAACATGCTTGTGTATGAAATCATTTGTCAATTCCATTTTCATTTTCAAAATTCTTTTTTACCAGACATGCCTTAATGCCTGCTAGGCTAGAAAGTTCATTTGGACTTTTAGAATATTAAAAGTTGTTTGAGTAATAATTTATATCCAACTTGACTTTTCTAAAAGCACGCTTAAATTAGGCTTGAAAATATATTTGACAAACTTGGGATTGTTTGAAATTATTTTTATTTTATTGTTTTGAAATTTAATATTTCGTAAAACATGTTCTGAAAATAAAAAAATAATAAAAATATGTGTTTTTCTCATTTTCTCTTATTCTCCAAAATAATAATATCAAAACATCTAAAAGTTATTTTCATTTTTTTGCTCTCCAAAATAATTTTTATTTTTTTTATTTTTTAAAACACTTTTTAAAAATACATTATCATATAATTTTTTCTTATTCTAAAAAATAAAAAACTATTTTTAGAATAAGTTGCCAAACGGTCCCTTTTATTTCTTGGAGCTTTTCAAATTGAAATCACATTTTCAACCCTCAAAGCTTATACATCATCCATCACTTTGACACTCTGCCCTTGATTCCATCATCGGCATCCCAATCAAATTAAATTAAAAACCTTACTAATTGAACTTTCACACTAGCTGCGTTGTACTCTTAGTTTCTGTATTTTTACAAGATAAAATTAGAAGGTTTGTTTAATTCAATAACACTAAATAAAAAATATCAAATTATTTCATCTTTAAACATGTGTTATAACAGAAAAAAAATTAGCCAAATAAAACAAAAACCAAAACAAAAAAAAGGTAATATTAAAAAATGTAATAAATAATTAAATAATTTTCTAAATATTTCTTATAAGACTCAAATATCCTTCTCAAAAATGTCTCGTAAAAATATGAGGGGTATTTAAAATTATTAGAAAAATGTAATTATATTTAAATTGTCTAATATAAAATATTTATATAACAAAAATTACAAATAATAAAAATCAATGCCCTATTTAGTAATTATACATTCAAAAACATATTGTAATATATATAATTTTAACAACTTTTAATTTATTAAACCAATTTTAAAAAAATTATATCCAAACATAAATTTTGTCATCACAACAAACTTGTATTAAATTAATTTTTACCAAATAAATTTTTAACAAACTAATTTTTGTTCAATGGAAAACCAACGGCCCTTAAGGTTGCCTAAACAATCTTCAAATTTCGGGAGGTGATTCTGAACTGTTGATGTATGGAATCATCAACACATTCATCCATATAAATACAAGAGTAGCCGGAAATAATATTAAGAATCATGAAAATTTTGATTTATCATAAACTTCGCGCAAAATGCAAATAAATCAGGCCTATACTCTACTTGAGCGACAAAACCTGTGTAAAAGTTGGTGCCATACATCCCATGTGCGGTTCAGGTTATGCGGTCTGCATATTTTATTGAGGACTAGAGACCACGGGTTTCAATAACGAACACACTATTCCATAAAAGAAAAACTAGAATCATGTCCAAACATTAACATTGTTTTGGCGCTGGAAATTGACATATTCTTCAATGCTCCGCCATCAATTACCCTCCCACTGTCCCACCCCTTCTCCACGCCCTCGAAAAAAGGGATGAAAGTAAATTTGCGAAAGCCTAATGAAACAAGACAAAAATGGAAACCCAGAACCGAAGTTAGGGTCATTCAATTAGTTGGCATAAATAAGAATAGCAATTTATAGGTATCGAGGAACGACAAAAAAAAAAAAGAAAAGAAAAGAAATATTACAGGACAAAAGAACTGTACCGAATATTTGATCCAGACAAAGAAACACTAACAATAACGGGATTCGGGGCGGGGGATGTATACTAGAAATAGCGGGTGATATAAGGGAAGAAATCACTCAACACTTTGCCCCCCTTTTTACCCTCTCTCGCTATTACTGCCTTCCAAACGGCAGAAACCTGATACCTGCCTAAACCCATTAGACCTTATCATCTAATTTATCATTTACAAGAGGAGTCATCTCCAATTTATTTCGAGGCGTCCGGGGTGTTCGAGGCGTGCCTGGAACAGGTGGCTGTTGGGAGATCACATTCCTTACATATCCATAGAATGTACATCCCCCAAGAGTCACAGCACAGCCAACAGCATTCATAGGTGAAATTGGGTTTCTAAATATCAGCCAAGAAACGAGGACAGCAACTGCAACCTGCATATAAAGCATGGTTCTTATTAATTAGAAAATATAATAAGAAAATCACAATCGCCATGATTGCAGGCAATATAACATTTCCGTTTCAACATGTAACACCAGGTTTTACTACCTTGACATAAGTGACAATCATGTAAAACTGAACAAAAAATTCAATGACAATTGGGAGCAGGGAAATATGATGAGAAAAATGTGGAGGTGAAGGAATGGCATCCTCTTTCTAAGAACGTGATCATGAGATTGGTTACATGTATTGAATAGAAAAGCAGAATTTTCAACTATACATATATAAAGCCAAGTGACAGTGAAAACGATGGGTTCAAACATGACCTAAAAGCATCGTAGGTTAAGGTATCTAATTCTGACTCGGATCTCACCTTGAGGTTGCCAGCGACATTAAATGTTACAGCAGTGGTGGAGTGTATCACATAGAAAATGGAGAAGTTAAGGCAGAAGGCCAAAATCCCGGAACTCAAAATAATGATGAGGGCTGTCCAAGGATATGGATGAGCGCTAAGCCACTCCAGAATTCCATTGCCTTCAAGCAACATTGCAGGTATCGCCAAGATCATGGTTGCAAATGGTGCCATATAATAAACTGTGTTTATGCTAAAGATACACACCAAAAAAAAATAAAAAAAAATCAGCATATGCACTGCACTAACGCCATGCTAAAGATATTCAGACAAATCTATACATGCGCAGAACTGAAGGTATAGAAGAGATTAAAAAACTACAGGTTATCACAGATTCACGTGTGCAAGAAAGATGACAAGTTACCCAACGGGCTTAAATTTTTATTTTGGTAGTGAAAACATAAATTGAAATATAAGAAACAAAGGCAATAGCTCAGCACCTTAGTGGATGTTGATAAAATAGGCTTCAACATTAGTTAACACGCAAACAGCTTAAATAAAAAATATTAAAAAAAGTTATATTCTTGATACTGATCGCAGCCTTTAGAAGCAAGTAGATACAAAATGAGCCATATAGATGCCCACAACTTGCATCAATCTAGATTTACTCCTTGGTGTAGCACATGCCTCTTTTTGCATAATGTCATAATGCCATGGACCTAGGAGTTTTATGTTGAACTTATAACTTTAATTATGATACTTGAAAAACTCTTTTTGAATGCCATGTCAGCCATGAGATAATGGCTAATGATGGACGTTTATTGCTACAGTATGATCCTTATGCAAATAAATTATGATTTGTTTCACTTAGCCAAATGATGTAAGTTTAGTTTTAAATACCTGGTATTTGATGGTTGTATGCAGGCTTGTGACTGTTTGATGTACTTTGGGCTTCACATGCCCTAGGCACTCTGTATGGCTGGACATGAATTTTGGGATCCCAACTTTTGTCTCCAATAGTAAGTTTTATTTGTGAAATGTTTTAAGCAAAATATAACTCTGGGTTCCTGCATTTTTTGTCAGTATTCTATGTCCTTATACTTTTATTTTTTAGTGTTCTACGTTCCTAGAACACCGAAAAACAGAAGTGTACGGATATAAAACACTGAAAAAAAAAAGTATAGGGACCTATAACAAAACTCGAGCAAATTACAAGATCCAAAACTATGTTTTCCCAATGTTTTAAGTTCACAGGTTTTAAATTTGCATGATCCTTACAAGGTCAATATTCCACTTCATTGTTACAAGGACATTTGCATTGATTTTCTTGGTAAACACTCCACAATTAAATATTACTAAGTGGTTATCCAAAAAAAAAAAAAAACCAAGTGGCAGGATCTTAATATCCTAAGAAGTTCTGTTTTATATGTAGTTAAATAAGTTCAAAATTAAGATTGTGAACCTTGAAACAACCATTCACCGGTCACACCCATTTTTTGGTGCAAATTGCAACAAATATTGACCAATATATAGAGTTTGTCATGTGATCAAATTTCTCGGCACCCAAAATTGTTTAAGCTCCAATATGGAAAATTTTCTATCTCTATCTTGGAGGCAAAAGGTTCTTCAGAAAATTGGATCATTAAAGTGTTTGTAGGACTTGAAAATTCATTTAC